CGAATCTTTCTAAAAATTCAGCAGCCCCTGATAATCGATTATCACTTGTTGATAATCAATAATCAAACTTCTGGAGCCTCTGATAATCAATTATCACTTGGTGATAATCGACTATCAAATGTTCCGCAGCCTCTGATAATCGATTGTCACTTTGTGATAATCGACTGTCAGAGTTCAGCAGCACCTGATAGTAGATTATCAGAATTTGACAGTCTACTATTGCAGTACTCGGATTCTTCTTTGGTCTGTCGAATTACGTTCAACCTTTTAAATATTATAATGAACATGTAAGATTTACAAATATATCTAAATATTGAGTTCCTCTAGATTCCAAATGGATTTTAGGTGATTTCTTTTTCAACGAGTTCCATATCATATAGCCTTATGGCGAGAAAACTACGATCATACGGTTTCAACGAAGGTTATGCCAAGTAGTAGAGCATATAGAGTAACAAATATACATTCGTTCATGCATGTACAAAACATATATTTGGGCATGGATTTACGTGTTCATGTAATCGTCTAAATGTGGTCTAGGTGTTTTCCAACTTGTTCACTCACATGTCAAATTTATGCACTTTTACGTATCTGGTGATGTTATTGTGATATTCATTGGTATTTCCTCAAGCCTAAACATATTCTTCATAATCTAACTGTTCTTCCACTTATTATTTCACAATCCTTATTGTTTACATTGGAGTCAATCATCCATTTAGCCTTGTATAATCATTCAATTTCATAACGATTGTAATCCTCGTTGTTCTCTATGCATCGTTAATAGATCAAGAATATATCATGGTGTGAATCTATATACAAATAATCATATAAACAATAAATGTATTCGCATATAAATATATTAAAGATTCCTCCGTTATATCTAGGGTGTACATACCTTGGATATTACACAACGTTAGAAGAGACCGAATGAATCAACGTCAACGAACGGTTGTCAAACCGTTGACCTTCCGACTTCCAAACGGCTACTTGAGTTTCGTTTCTTCCCGCGAATATGTTATAGGGGTTGTGAACAGTCGGCACGCATTCAATGAATAGCGAATCGGATGAAATGAAACGAGAACGAAGGCGGAAGTTTCAAACCTCGCGTTTTCCGACGCCGCTGGACCAGTTTTGGTAAAACGGCCGTATCGACTTCGTTACCCGTTCGATTGACGAACCATTTGCGGCTATGGTCGAAATTCTACCCAAAGTGAAGTGGGAGGGTTGAGAGTGTGTTGATGGTGTGGGGGTTTTAAATGGTGAAGGAGATGGAAGGGAGAGAGGGTGTTTATATTGAAGAGACATAATGGAGGAATAATGGAGGAATGATGAGGAAAGTAAATGAGAATTAAAAATGGGGAATGCATGGTGATGGGTGTGGCGTGTGGATTTGTTTGGGAGTTACCTCCCTAAAACTTACTCTGTTGTGTAAATTCAGACCTGAACGGTATGCGTTTTCCCCCCGAACTTGCACGAATTGGAAACCGATTGCGTTTCCGGAAATAAACAGTCAAAACTAAATTTATGACATCTTCAAAATATTTTTCTAAAAACTTTATTTTCAAACTTCCGGATCCATCTCAATCATTAATTAATTTATTTAATTAATTAATGTTGATAGGCCCGTTATTAAAATATATTAACTTTAGACGCCCATTTAATGAGATCGAAATTTCAATATTTATTACTTAAAATAATGAGTCTCAATAAATAAATAATATTTATTTATTTAAAATATTGACTAAATATTAGGCCGGTTTGTGGGGCGTTACATCTGATGCGTCATTTGTAAATTGTAATCACTTTCTATTACAATCGTAGTTTAACAAAACAAGTGGTGACAAGAATATTTTAATTTTATCATATAGTTCATGAAAAAATACAAATAACTATAAATTCCAGTGAAGTTGGAATAGCATTATGGGAATAAAGTTTTAGGACGAAGAGAGTATTCCATTAGAATTCCTACACCTCAATCTCCTACGGAGTATGTATTTTGATATCTCCATATACTAAAATTTTTTTTGGATATTTGGTGAGGGCTAAAAAAATATAAAATTCAAAACCTCCAGATATCATAAGTCCTTCAAATGAAAGTTTTCGATATCTTTCGAATTTAGTAGAGATATCAATATATGAGTGTTTGATATGTTTCTTAACCATTAATCATTCTCTATCACCAGCTACTATTGTCACCGTCAACCACTCCGTTGTCGGTCACCCTTAAAACAAGTTTGGGCAATCGGGGGCTGGGGCATTCGGGTCGGGCAATGACCGGATACTGTAACACCCTCCCACAATTTGATCTTCCAAAACTTGTAAGGGGTCGTTTGGTTCAGAGGTAAGGGAATGAGGAAAGGGAGCTGATATTTGTTTTTAAAAAAAATTCATCCCCTTTCCCTTTTAAGTTTTGGATTAGCCGTTGGAGGCCTATTCCGTAGCTTATATCGGGGTTTCCTCTCTCATTCCCTGCAATTCCCCATTCCCGTTTCTTCATCTCAAGCTTCGTTTCTTCTTCCCCGATGGCCGCCACTCACCTTCACGCCGTAGCTGCAACTCCATCCGCCGCAGGTATGTTCTCCCCTCCCTCATCAAAGATCTCCCATTTTCCAAAACTTGTAAATGCTCACCTCTTAACCCTATTCTTGGCCTCCTTAGACTCTCTCTTCTCTCTCTCGTCTGCTATTCAACCCTCTCGCGCTTCAAGATTTCAATTTCTTCGCTATCTTCTCGGCTGCATTTGGTCTCCTACCTCTGAAACTCATCAAATTCATCGCCAATTCCTACTACTGTAATCCACTCACGGAAGGTACTCCTCAAAACTCTCGCTCTTTTGATATGTTATATGCCTTTCTTGCATATCTCAATTTTAATTTCCGCCTTCAGTGTTTTTAGATTTCCTTTCTCCTGATGTTTCCCCCCTTTCTTCTCTTGCAGGCCTGAATTATGTCCGTGCAGTTCATTTGTTTTTTTTTTGAGTATTTCGAATGTTTCATTCCAATTTCAATGGCCTGGAACTTAGATATGAAGGACATGATGAAGTAAGAAGGGTAACTAATTCGATCGGATGAATTGGATTTTTTTATCTTTCAATTTGAATTGATGAAATTGAAACACAAACTTGTTGTTAACTGTGGGGTTCCTTTTGAATCTAAAATCTCTAAAATTACCTAAGCATTGATTTGTGGAATTGATACAGAAACACTGCCGATAGGTGCTTTGTTGGATTCCAGTTGTGGTTCAAATGAAGCCACAGAGAAATCATGTCAAGAGCAAACTCTTCCTATTTTTCAGAAAATTGAAGATCTGGCTGCTAAAGTGCATGTAAGGCTTTTCACTGCCTGTTTGGATTTGTTTGTTGATAGAAATGGATCTTCTTTTGCACACATTACTAACCCTATTTTCCTTCCAGGATTTGAGAAGAAAACATGCGGCTCTGAGTGATGAGGTGAAGAGTATCACTCCAGATTCTTTCCCTGGTTCTNTCCCATTGGAATCAGTGCTTGACACGCTCTTGGTTTCAATAGTACTCATCTAACAAGCATGTAAAGTCAAACTTTTAACCAAATGAGCACGTAACATAATTACCTTCCGGAGACGGGAGACGATTCTAGAATGCAAATGCAGTTTTGGAAATGCATGTTTTCAAATGGTCAGAAGACCGAATTTAAAACCTTTTGCTCTGATACCAAAAATGTAACACCCCAATTCGTATAACCCGGAATTATAGGAATTAAGGTGAAACGGGAGAAATATTTTAAAACTTTTCCAAATCATTAAATAAAATTCATAAGACAAAAATTCAAAATATAACATATTAAATTCGGATCGATCCTTTTACAAAATGTCGGAGATAGCGGAAGACTAAAAATAATACAAATACAATGATGTGGGTCAAACCCAAAACTTCAAATGCAAAACTTGTGAAAATCATGCATGTCAACCTGCCATCCTATCGTCTCTTCGTCCTCCGGGTGGTTCACATAATCTGTGCTTCAACCTACGTGTAGACAAAAAAGACTACACGCTCAGCATAAAGCTGAGTGGTACAATAACGCAAGAGATCGATAACATATTTATACTTAAATACTACGCATCACATTAGCCACATAATTTTCATGCTTGCATAGTAGATAGCGCAAGATACAAGAAACACATATACATATCATGGAGATTCATTTTGAATATTATCCAATTATAAATACCTTGGCCTTGTCATCGCCGATGTTGGATATGAAGTGCAGTACGTTTTGCAATACCACATACAATTTGATAATTAAGATCTGCATAATTATTTACAAACGATGCAATGCTAGATGATTCATGATGCATGAGTTAGACTACGTTATTAGGGACACCCCTAACTTAGTCTCACTTGACAGGATCACCCCTGCACTCCGGTAATGACCCGGGCTCGACAAAACGTCACAAGTGAACTAGCAAAAACCGGGTGGTAGCCGTAACCTGACTACCATGTACGTACAAAAAGCCCACCTGATGAAAACCCGTTGGATCGCGAAGGTTCCTGGACGGGCCCACTGTAGTAAGTGCACGAAAGCCTGACCTCCCTACAGCGATATGCACATGATGACGAACTTAGGACATAGGTCTACGATTAACATGATGAAATGAATGCATTGATTGAAGAAGGAAGTTAAATTCCACGCATACATATGTGTTTGATTACAATTTGTTCAACATGATGACCTTGGGTTCAGAACTGGCTGATAATCGATTGTCTACTATTGATAATCGATTATCATGCTGTGCAGCTTCTGTCCCCAAAGTCCTGTAGACTGTGATAGTCACCCTATGGTAGTCGATTGTCAAGTTGGTTTGTTCAGAAAATCCTAAGTTCAGAGAGCCTGACTTATGATCCCGAAGGCTTATATTGAAAGCTAAGTCCCGGTTTTTAATCCATATTTCAACTGTTGATTCTTACCT